CCCCAAAACCCCAAAACCCCAAAACCCCAAAACCCCTTGATTTTTGAATTATAGAATAAATATGATCGCAAAATCTTTGGGTAAAAGACTGTTCTCTACAAGGACAAGCGCCGATGTAATCATTATTGGTGGAGGTCATGCCGGCTGCGAAGCAGCCCATGCATCAGCTAGGACTGGAGCCAATACTGTGCTTGTAACTCAGAAGCTTGAAAGTATTGGAGAAATGAGCTGAAATCCATCAATTGGAGGTATAGGCAAAGGAACGCTTGTCAGAGAAATTGATGCCTTAGGGGGAATTATGGCTAAAACTGCAGATGAGGGAGGGATCCAATTCAAAGTATTGAACCAATCTAAGGGTCCAGCTGTGCATGGACCAAGATGCCAGCAAGATAGAGATTTGTATAAGAAAGCGATGCTTCATGCGATGCAAAATACTCCAAACTTGAGCATAGTAAATGGTAGTGTTGAAGATCTCATTGCTAATAAATCTACAAATACTGTTGAAGGAATCATACTAGATAATGGAGAAGAGATTCGATCAAAAACTACAGTGATAACTACTGGAACTTTCCTGGGAGGAGTCCTCCACATTGGCAAAGATCGGTATGCAGGAGGTAGATTTATGAGAAAAGACGACAATGCTGAGCCACCGAGTACAAAACTTTCCAAAACACTACGCAGTTTCAACTTCCCTATGGGGAGAATGAAGACTGGAACTCCTCCTCGATTGAAGTATTCTACTATCAACTATGAAGGTCTTGAAGCTCAGGAAAGCGACACAGACATTCAGTATATGAGCTTGCTGAACCAATTTAAAGGCAAAAAGCCTGTCAATGATCTTATAAACTGCTACATTACATATACAAACCCAGAGACACATAATATAATCAATGAAAATCGGAAATTGCTGCCTGATTTTGATGAGAATGAGGGCCAAGGAGTTCCTCCGAGGTATTGTCCATCAATTGAGCTCAAGTTGCTCAGGTTCTCCCAAAAGAACAAACATAGAGTCTGGCTTGAGAGAGAAGGGTCAGATAGTGACATAGTATATCCTAATGGTATCTCTACTTCTCTTCCTGAAGATGTGCAGCTAGAATTCCTGAAAACAATTAAGGGATTTGAAAATGTAGAAATCCTTCGCTGTGGATATGCTGTGGAATACGACTATATCACACCTAATTGCCTCAAGCACTCTCTAGAGACAAGGATTCTCAATAATTTGTACCTAGCCGGACAGATAAATGGGACAACAGGGTATGAAGAAGCAGCAGCACAAGGAATCGTAGCTGGAATTAACGCAGGTTTACAAGCTCAAAATCGTAACCCCTTTATCCTAAACAGATATCAAGGATTGATAGGAGTTCTAATTGATGATCTTATTTCTATTGGAGTAAAAGAACCCTACAGAATGTTTACATCCCGTTCTGAGTTTAGGCTTCTTCTGAGGCCTGATAATGCGGATCTCAGGCTATCTCCTTTAGCCCAAGAAATTGGAATTCTAGATGAAGAATACTCCGATATGGTAGATTTTAAAAAATCTGAACATGAGAATGCCCTAAAGGTGCTTAAAAGCTACCAATTTTCCACAACGCAATGGTCAAAATATGGTGTGCCAGGACTGTCTGTAAAGAATATCAACAAGTTATCTGGAGACGAACTGGTGAGCACCAACTCCGCTGTCTCTCTAAACTCAGTTGCTAGTGCTATAACAGAGCACAGGTCTTCATTGGAAGAACCCCCATTCACTATTGATAGTAGGGCGATAAGACCCCTTGAAATTGAGCTAAAATATCGGATTTATAACACAAGGCTACAGAAGATTTCAGAAACTCTTAAGAAGGAGCAGTACAACACCGATATATCAGAGCTTGATCCCTCTGAAGTTAAAGGTACAAATAAATTAGCACCTCCAAGACATTCCATGACAATAGCTATTTTCTTCTGAGGATAAAACTTTGTTGGGAGGCTGAGCCACTTTCAAAATCACCAAAATGCACTTCAAATGATTTTTAGAGAAAATTGTTTCACAATTTTTAGGATCATAAAATTTGAAGTCCGCCTTTGTTCATTCCTATTAGTTTCAATGTTGTTTAATCCAAACTTATAGCCTTTATCTCTTCTGAGGATTTCGAGATTCTTGAGAGTAGAAATCCGACAACTTTGTATGGAGCAATGAGGCTTGGTGTCAAACCGACAGCCATCGCTGCGATCTGGTTCTACCTCAAGAGGCAGAAATAGGGAAGAGCATTGAGTAGAGGTCTGAAAGTTTTCAATATTTCTTTAAATCCTTGGGGTTTTGGGGTTTTGGGGTTTTGGGG